GGCCCTTCCCGCCCCAGCAAGACGGTGGGCAGTACCCTCCAGGACAACGGCTCGCTTTACAATGAGTAATACTGACCTGTTTCCTTTGGAGGCTTGAAATTCAGAAGCATACGCTTACACTGAAAATGGACGGTGGGCCTAACGCGTGTGTTAAACTATAACATATATGTACTTAAGAGGCAAAATTTTGACAAGATCTGCAACGTAATAAGATAACCATGGATTTGGGTGGCTGGAAACTACCTGCTCGGACGGCCATTTCTCAACAGATCCCTGTGCCATGCCCCCCGCCTTCTCAGCCCCAGGACATGCACACAGAGACCAGGAACATCCATCCTACAAACTGAGGCTGCCTTTGCAGTAATTTTTTTGGGAGATTTTAAATACTAAGCAGTCCTTTCCTCAATTTCTAACAGGCTATAACTGCCATTTTTTGTCCTTGCCTCCAGGCTTTTCTCCTGTGAGAAAATATGGAGGAGGAATCAGTGGGAAGAGGAGAAACATTGAACTCGCTCAAGATGTCATGAAGGTTGCAACAACTGCAGAAACAAAATGTTCCACCATATGACATGTGGCCTCTTCTCAGCATCTTCCTCTGGAAGAACAACTTGCACTGCATCTGAATGTGGTTTAGCGCAGTGGAAGACACCTGCACTTCAGAAATGATGTGACTCAAGACAATAAGGACAAACGTCCACTTCCCCAAAATGTTTGCGGGTATCAATTAAATCCACCTGTGATTTTGCCTAAGAACTTCAAACAGGAATCAGCGCCCAACATGTTAGATATTTTCTAAGCTGAGAGCACCCTGTGTCACCAGCTGTGGATGACATACACCCAGTCCTGACTGACCTACTGGCTTCTGAATTTACATGAATCCACTTCTTCCAGTGTAACACCCCTTTTAAACTACAGCACTGAATATAAAGGAGAAAAAGAATACATGTGCTTTCATGTTCTGCAGGCATTTCTTTTACTTAAATTTTCTAAAGTAACATTAGAAATGTCTAAATCAATCACTTTCTGAAGTGACATGGTTAAGATCTTTAAAAACAGGCACTCTGATGGGGAATTTCAAGGTCTCTTCTACCACTTAGAAGCCTACATCCCACTGAAAGTCACTTTTGAAAGCAAATTTTGGGTGCCTAAGTCATTTGCTTTTCAGTAATAAATGTACTGCTAAGAGCAGGTGCCGTGTACTGCTACAATCTTTATAATAATTAATACAAAAGCAGAAAGTATATATATTTGTGATACTGAAGCCTAAGGCACTGGAGCAAGAGAGTCTATAATGGGTTCTCCTTGGAGCAAGCAAACAAGAAAAAAAAACTAGGCTGAAAGCACTTAGGTCCAAAGCCTAACCTCTTTAGAGAATATGAGTATGATTTCATATGTGTGTGTGTGTGTGTTTACACATTTAAATCTGGCATGACTTAAAGAAACCGAATCCTTCTGTTAGCATCAAGATAATCCACTTTTCTGGAGGGAGAGATAAAAGCGAGTTGGCAGCTGTAAGTGCTCTGATATCCAATTTCTTTAAGAGACTTGAAGTCAGACTGATAGATTTGCAGCTGGCTCCAGCCCATAGCCCTGTACCACAACTTTGGCCTTTGTCAGGAAAAGAAAAGGCCCAGAGATGTTTGGAGAAGCGGTGTGGCACTTGGAGGAGTGGCTGCTTCATAGTAAGGATGGGACTGCTGAGTAGTAACCCAGCTCTGTGAGGGGCTCTGGGCAATGTCAGGACCAGAACTAAGTTCTTGTGCCTGCCAGCGATGCCTTGTCCCACGGGTCTGGCCATGTAATAACACGAGGAGCAGAGTGACTGAGCAGCCCTTTGAATGCCCAAACACTACTGCTCTTTGTGCACACATGAGGTGGGCATGGCAGAAAAAGGTCGATCCTGCTCATGTTGCTAGGCACCCTCATGTTCAGAAGAGAAGACACAAAGACTGCCATTTCCTCTGTGTATCCGACATCAGGGCCAGCTTTGGTGCCCTTGAGTAGAGGGCAGCAGCCCACACAAGGGTTGCTCCTAGGTTACTTGTATAAGCTTTAGGTTTCAAAGGGAAGAAATGCCACCAGAAGTGCATTCTTGTTATTCAGAGACCTGAATTTGTACCATCAGTGAATGCAGGAGCTCTGAGCTCAGCTTCTCTTCTTGGTAACACTGACAAGTAAATTTTACCAAAGTAAATTTAAAGGAAGAGCACATTTTTCTCCAAAGTGGGGGGAGAAAAAGATGACAAAAAGGAGACTTCAAAGGGCCATACCCTCTCTGACGGCTTTTCTAAGCTGGTGCTTTTACTGAGAGCACACATGCACTCGAACAGCACAGCAAGGATTTTGCTGCTAGCGGCAGTTGGATCCTAGCTCTTCAGGGCTGCTCAGCAATATTGTTTGCCTTTAAGAAACTTTTATGTGAATAACAACAGAAGCTCCTGGCTCTGCGGCGCTCTGTATTGATTTTATGATGTGCCAGTTTGCAGGCATTTCACATAATGCAGACAAGAAGCATTTCACTGTCTGCAGGGTTAGATGCCCAGACCTTTCCCTCTGCTAACTTAGGCTTCTCCTGCTTAAACTGCAGGAGAAATCCTTTTAGTAGGAGCAAGACTGTTACCGTTTCCTGGCAAGCTGCCGAATGTGAATAGGTCACTTGATCTTGCACCTCCTGAAGTTAATGGTGAAAACATACTTGCTTTCAGTGACTGCAATATCATGCTTTTAGTGAGCACATTGCTATTTCCTTTTGCAATACTTTCAAAGTCTCCATCACAGTAGTCCTTTGCCTTAAACAGGGGAAGCAATGAATAGGTCTCCCACAGTGCTGCCAACATCTTCCCAGCCATGTGGTTGAAATTCTAGATGGTGCCAGGGCCTGTGAAAGCCGGCAGCTTTGGCCTATGTGGTCCTGCTTCTGGCTAGGAACCCAAGGCACTTTTGTCTATCATCGTTCTGAGAGCTCACTTTGGACCAATTCACATTTTTCTTTAAGAAGCAGTTATAAATAATGGGATATTTAGCTCCTGGAAGAAAAAAAGGGGATGCAAGGCCATCAGATTTTTCCACAGCAAATCTGCCCTCTCCTTATTCCTTTAACTGGCTTCATAGGAAACAGAGGGCACGTTTTTTGCAAAATGCTTGTCCTGTTTAATCCCTGCTGAGTTAGTTGTGGAGTCAAATGCCAGATCAAAAGGAGGCCCCAGCAAGTGAAAGTTGCAGGGAAGCCTCCAGCTGCCAGGGTCTCTTCCAGGGACAGCTGTAGGCTAATGGATAAGCTATAAACAGGGTATTTAGGGCAGAAGTGACAATAGAATGGGGGCCAGGGTGAACAAAGGAAACGTTTTAAAAGGACGCAAAAATAGTGAGAGCTGAACAGCAGAGCTTGTCAGCCGAGCTGTCTCTGCCTCAGACAGAAAGGCCAAGGAGCCACGGGCACACAGAGAGCTTGTGCTGCCGCCGGCAGAGGATCCTGCTCTGCCAGCAGGATGTGCTGCTTGTCGAAGGATCAGAGCGGGGGAGAGGTGTTCAGTTAGAACAACTTTCTGGGACGACTGTAAACAGTTTTTTCAAATCAGTTCTAACAGCAGCAGCTTTCATTAGAGTGGGGAGAAAGAAGGGGAGAATGGCAAACTGTACATCAGTCCTTTGTTAATCTAAAAAATATCTGATGACTGTGGAATGCCACACTGGACAACTCATGCCCTGAAAAGGAGATTTTTTTTTGGGGAAAATTTGTTTCGAAGACTTCTTACAGGAAGCTACAGTGCTGTCTCTACGATCTCTCATCTGGTAAAGCACGTCCAGGTCTCCTACCTGTTTTGCGAGCACTCTCACAGTTCCAGCACACACTGCCTGCAGAGGGGTCTGCATCACTTTATTTTACCTGCCCACCAGCCAGCCCATCTCTCAACACCCTCCACTGCATGCACGGCAGATCAGCCCTGGAAGAAGAAGGGAACCTACCCGCAGGGTGACCTGGTATCACGAGGCTGTTGGTAGGTAACGCTGGTGGAGGTGGCAGCGTGGGTGGGGTGGCGAACATGGCCGGATGGTGCTGGTGTTGGGTCTGTGATCTGAGAGAGAAGTGCGAGGTAGCAAGATTAGAGATGGAGAGGGGCAGAGCCGGGCCGGAGGAATGGTGCGGAGGAATCTGGGGAGAGAGGGGAAGGTGTTTCGGGAGGCTGATGCTTGTTGCACTACTAGCACTGCTGCTCCGGCTGCAGAGAGAAAAAGATGGGGGGAAGAGGGGGGAGAGAGACAGAGAGAGAAAGAGAGAGAGTGTGTTACAAGACTGAAACAGTGCAAGAAATACACTACCAGAAACAACACAACTATGTAACACTGATCTCCCCAGGCTTATGTTTTTGTTTTTCTTAACGGCAATGGAGACAGTAACGAATCTTAATGAACTTCTCCAACAGGGCAGGACAGGGCTTGGGCTCTCTGGAGAGTGACATTTCCTCTGGTGCTTGAGCAAGTTACAGTCCTCAGAGCTATCTATGAGATACTGAGGAAGGCCACTGAGGCAGCTGGATTTTGCACCTTTATTTAGCTTCTGATGACCTTGCAGTGGCCATGTGCGTCCTTGTGATCATACGATGCAATTACTCTAATTCCTTTTTCTGTTGCTCTGGGTGCACAGGGTTGCATAGTGTGAGTGACTTTGGGACCAAGTTGTACCTGCTGTGCATGCTGCGTAGTTATAGTCACACAAGGATGCAAACACAGACCATGTTAATAAATTTTTCTCATAATAATTCTGTATTTTACATCTTCTTCTTCTATTATTATTACTTCACTGCAAGTGATCTAAGTTTTGTTGGGTGAAAGGCACTATCACTGCAGTTACTATTTAGTGTAATTCCCACAATACCAATCATTTGTTGCAATCTAACCTCTGAGATATCTTGAATAGTTTGAAATATTATTAATCATTTACACAATGGTGTCATTTACAGGGTAAAACCACAACAGAGCTTAAGTATGCAGGATACTATGAAATACATATTAATGGCAGCTCTCTATATTCATATTTTGATCCTTATGCAGCCAAATATTATGTTTTAAATCAGTTTTCTCACCTTGTTTAAACTAGCCTAGTTCTGGTTTGGGAGTCAAGGCATGTTTTCTGTACCAGCAAAAAGACTATACAGGTTCCAGTTGACTGGTTAAACTCTTTTCTCTAGATACCATTTTCTCTCTCCATACCATTTTCACCCATCCTACTTACTGGATGGAGGCAATTTAAACAGCGAAGCTAAGCCTCCTGCTAGATCTGAACGTGTCATATTGAAGCAGATTTCTCAGCCTACACGGGAGTCCTGCTCTAAGCGACACAGCATTTTCCGACATAGATATCCCTCTTTTGATGCTGGTGATCCAAAAAAACTGTGATAACCATGAACAAACCTACTACAATGAAAGTATTTCTGAATATGAAACAAAGGAGTTGCCCAAACTCAATCCACCTTAAATTTCTAAGGCAAGAACTAGCCAGCTCAAACAAGACAGTGCAAAACTCCACTAGAAACTGGACCTAAAGGAAATTTACCCCACATTTACACATGCCTTTCTCCCAGAAAGGGAGCATTTATCACCAGGTTTCAAATGCAGTTATCCACCATTGCTGAAAAATCCAGCCTGTGGAGTCAGCACAGAAAGTCCAATATCCGTAACATGGAGCATCTTACACAGACAGTTAAGAGTGCTCTTGTCTCACCTCCCAGCAATTTCTATCCCATTTGAAACAAGCTTTAGCCCAGCAGTAGCATAAAGGTGACATGAGTATCCCTTTCCCCTACCTGATATTATTGAGTCCGTTGTGGGCCACCTGGTGATGCACTTGATAATTGAGAGGTGGAGGGATGTGACTCGGAGGCTGGGTCCGAAGCTCGGGTATTAACTGAGGCTGCGACTGCGGCCGAGGTTGAGGTTGTGACTGTGGCCGAGGCTGTGGCTGAGGCGTGAGCCTTGGTGGTGCTGGTGCTGAAATCACTGGCTCCTTCTTCAACAGTGGGCTTGCTCTGGCGCTTGACGTGGGCGCTGAGGAAGTAGAAGTCACAACGGCGGCTACTGGCTGGGGGCTGGGGATAGGCAGGGCGAAGGGCACGTCGGTGCTCAGTTCCCGGCTCCGCTCTAGCCCAGACACCTTTGGGACATTGGCTGCTTTCGCTTCTGGCTTGTCATTCAAGGTGGGACCTTATGGAGCAACGAGAAAAAGAACAAAGCGCATGCTGAAAGGTCTGCGTTTGTTTCTCTGCTTGGTAGAACATATGACTGAGAAAACACAAGTCATGTTTCAGCCCGTGGGACCATCGTGGGAGCACTGCTGCTACAAGATGGATGTGTGTTTGTGTGTCTGTCCTTCCGCTGTCCTTGACTGGCCAGTCTACAGTACTTGCTAGCATGTGTGTAAGAGACTTAGCTGTCATTAAATGAATGCATACTACAAAGAATATATAGCTTTGTGACTGCTAGAGTCCCAAGGTTATGTACAGTAGGAGTGTGAATGTGTCTCAAGTTACTGCTACAGTATTTCCTGCTCAATATAAGTTTTAAGGCTGATAATGCACTCATGAACACAAGCCTGATCATTAAGACATTTCATTTTCTCAACGCTCTTTCAAGGTAATCTACGTCGTGTTTAGGCTCAACTCCAGCTACAACGCACCGTGACCGAAGCACTAATCATTAATGATAACCCCACCTGGCTTCTAGGAGGGATGCTACCTGGGATCTTCGTGTAGCAAAGGATGGGACAGTTCTGCAGTGAAGCAGTGACATTGCCATTCCCTGGCCACATACTTGTGTGGAAGAACAGAACAGAGAAGGCTGGAAAAATCCATTCGGAAGTGCAGTGAGCACCCAGGCGTAGTTCTGCTCACCCTAAGTATTGCACACACCTGTATGCACGGCATGTCAAAACTATCAGGAATGCTGCGACCTTGCAAAATGTACCTACGGCGAGAATTCCTATGGAATTACTCCTGTGATGCCAAGTATTTCCTTTTTTGCAAATTAAGCTAAACAAAGCAGCCCAAAGGGTTAAAAGGCTGGAAAGGAAAAAGGGAGGAAAGGAAAGATATTTTGGATCAAGCAGTATCCAAAAGGTCAAAGACAACCGAAAGGACCAACATGAATGTGATTCAACTGCCACTGTAACTCCCTTTTTGACATAATCTCTGTATCCTTGAGTGCACATATACCCGCAATTACAAGAAAAGCTGTTCATGGGTTACGAGAACTAGTGTTGTCCATGCGTTTCACCTGCACACACCCCACCGTGCACACACAGCACTTCTAACTGACTTTTAGGATACATGCTTTTATTATCCACCAGAACGTGCTGGGGGCTGTTTGCGTTCAGCTGACTTGCAGACATGCAAGAGATGCTACCTACACTCATTAACATGCTCCCAACACCCTCACAAACAAATTCCACCTTTGAAATTTTCCCTTCTCATCAAAGGACTGAGCCAGTTCCTGATGTAGGAGGTGTGGAAATAACACACAACACACACCGTGAGCTAATTCTGGCCCTGCAGATGCTCTAACCAGGCGTTTGAAAACGCAGCCTATGCGAGGCCAGAGTCCTGACTGCTGCTGCTTCGACGACCTGAGCACCACCATGCCGGCATTAGATGAGGGAAGGACAGCGATGAATTGCAGCCTGTAGCACACCAGCTCACTTTCTGTACAGAAAATGCCCACGTGGTGATGGCATCTCCTTCCTTGAGATAAAAGGCAGTTTCCCACACCGCTTCTGGCTCTGCTTGCACTCTCACCATTGCACCATTTCCTTCATCAATCAATCGATCAATCACCACATATATATAAATTCAGAATGTGAAAAGAGAACGAATGGAAACGTATGAACTATATTTATCAGTTGAAGATGTCTGAGGACTTGTGGCCTCAAATGCACAAATAACAGGAACAGTAGCCTTTCCAAACACCAGTGCTTTGGCTGGCAGCAAGTACGATCAACCCTGTGCCTTCCAGCACCGTATACATCTCTACAGGTTTGACACAATGTCTGGTGGTCCTAAATTATTCCCTACAACAAATATAAGGCTAACTCTCGTTTCAGTGAATTTCTTTCTCAAATACGAGTTCATGCATCACAGGTACCCTGGTTTTGAGATGTAACTAGACTTGGTTCCAATGTTATTTAGAGTGACAAAGAATTTATTTCTAAAATCAATTTCTCATCGTTCCTGTGCACCATTATTTTTTTATAATGCCACCTATGTTTTTAAATTTTCCTCAGATTTTATTACTAACAATTGAAAAATTGTCATTGACTAGTCAAGCCAGGGGTCCCCACACTGTGCATTTTGGAGGAAGTGTATTCACAGCTGTAGATCCCACTGTTTTTCAGGAGCTACCCATTAAAAGCAATTGGGTTTCATTCCTGACCATAGGTTTCCTGAGAGCCTATTAGCTCTTTCCATCCAGCAGAGCTCCTCCTACAGAGCTAAACTTCATATTGTGTAATTATAGGCAATGTAGACTAATGGTGTATATTCAAAACACACTGGCACCACAAAAGTTAGTTGAGTAAAAAGTCAATTAGATCCAAAACAAATCAATAAAGTCCCGCATTAAAAGCAGCTGTTTGACCAGTTTTATGTACAACTATTGATTCCCTGTGGTTTCAGCATTAGTTCTCATTTGCAGTTTTCTCAAAGCAAAAGCTCATGCTCCCTTGCTGACGGAATTGACCAGCCAGCCTGGTTGTATTAGTTAGTACTAGAGGTACATGACTAATTTCTGCTGCCAACTTGCATCTCTCAGGCTGCAGTAGTGAAATGTTTTTGTGTTTCATTCTCGACAATGAAAATACCCAGATGCTCCCCCCCGCCCCCCCCCTGGAAAAGCTCCTCATGGCTGGGAGCATCTT